GGGCCGATAAAACAAACTTCTTTTTGAAAACCAGACTCTTTTCATTGGCAAATAAAACTATATATATTTTTCTTTTCTTTTTTCACTTTCTCAAAAAGAAAAATTCGACAGAGTTTCGACACTATTTGGACATTGTTTTTTTTTCAAAAACAGGCGATTAACTCTCCTTAACCCTCATACTGCTATTTTGCTTTCCTCAAAAAGTCGGTCAGCATGCAAGTCTGAAGCAAATAAATGCACAGGTAGAAAGTAAGATGCATCAGGATGGTCATTTCCATTTTTTGGTACACCTGTCCTAGACAGACCCAACCCCTGTGTTAAGCCTCCAAAGTCAAATGCATGTGATGCAAACAAACGTTCCTACTAGGGATCCGGCATGAAGCTGAGTTATTCTAGGTTCATAACCTGGGTATTTGTTCTAGACTGTGTACCCGAGCGGACAACTCGAGTCGAGGAGGGGGCTACGTACCGGGAACCAAAAGGCCATCCGGCTTAGTAACTTGTCCGGCCTCTTTCTTATTTCAGGTATTGACACTAACAGAATAGGGAGTCTCGACCAGCAAGCTCATCCCCGGAGGCAAGAAGAGAAGGGTTCAGCACAGTTTATATACATTTCGGATAATATCAAAGCGGTAAAAGCATCATTTAGCACATTAGGCCCAAACATGTAACCAAATCAGATAAAGCCAAATATAACAATTTATCTAAGCTCGAATTTTGAACCCTGAACCAGAGATTCTGGGTTATGTCCCTAGCAGAGTCGCTAGAGCTGTCACACCTCCTTTTTCACCTACACCCCGCGGGGGGGCGTTAAAAGAGAGTTTTTCCAATTAAGGGACAATCGAAACGGGATTTTATTTAAAGATTCAGAGTCGCCACTTGGGAGATTTATGGTGTCCCAAGTTAATGGTTGAATCCCGAATCGAGGAAAATATTGACTCTGTATTACAGTCCACGAACCAGAAATCCGAGTAAGGAATTCTGTTAACCTGGGAGAAGGTGTTAGGCATTCCCGAGTTCCGTGGTTCTAGCACGGTCGCTCAACTGTTATATTCGGCTTGTTTATCTGATTTTTTATACATGTTGAATCTATGTGCAAATTTTAACTGTGTACCGCTCTTATTATTATTATTTTTTACCGAGAATTGCAACATCGTGAAAATACATCTCGAACCACGTCACATCAATGCACCCGTGGTTATTGACACATTTCAACTCTGTTGAGATTTGGATTTGGGTCACATAAATGTGCACCCGAGTTTAAGAAGATAACATTATTAAATACGCGCCTAAAGCGACTAGCGTATCATTATTTTGGGTAGGGCCGTGAAATTTTGCTAAACGGCCCATCCCGAAGTCTAAGTAATTTTACCAACACGTATAGAGGGTCCCGCAGCTTGTGTATTTTTGTTTGTCGAGCCTCGTCTCATTCATTATTTTTAAAAGGAATTTGCAACATTATGGAAATGTATCTCGAACCACGTCACAATCAATGTACCCGTGATTAGCGACACATTTTGACTTCGTTGAGATTTG